GCCGCAGCAAATTGGGCCGGCGGCGCGCGCGGGGCTCTGCGCATGTGCGGGAGGCGCCGGAGTTTCCCTTTGCAACTTTTAAGGGCCTGGGGACGCCGCGCCGCCCGGCCAGGTGGAGCCCGCCGCGCCCGCGCCGCAGGTAGAGGGGAAGGGGCGAGGCGGAGGGGGCGGAGGGTCGGGTCCCGGGCCCACAGCCTTTCCGGACTCCCCCTGCGAGGCTCCCTCTCCCCTCGCCTCCCCCCGGGGACTTGTCCCCGGGAGCTCGACCTCCCAGCCGGGATGGGGAGAGAGGAGCGCAGCCGGGGTGGGGGCTCTTCCTTCTCGGACTCTGTGCCTCGCAGGCCTGGGAAGGGGCCGGGCGCCCGAGTCCTCTGCCGCTGGGAAGGAGTAGAAGCCCCCGGGGCTATCTGTCCCTCAGGGACCCCTGCCCGCGGCCCTGCCGGCGCCCCGCGGAGGGAGGCCGGGCGTTCGGGGAGGGTGAGGAGAGTTCTGCCAGGAAACCCAAACCGCCCAGGTCCGGGGACCTGATAAGACTGGCCACCTGAGACGCTGGGGTGGCCTCCACCTTTCAGCCGCCGGTGGTGTCCTCAAGGGCAGGACTCCACAGTGCGGGAGACCGAGTGACCGCCAGCTTCCTTCCCCGCCGAACCTGCGCGGCTGCGCCTACAGTGTCCCGGCTTCCTGGTTAGGCCGGTGGGCTGTGCTCCCCAGGCCCGCCCCGGGCACAAGGGGGACTGTGGAGGCGCGCTGGGGCCTTTCGGAGGCCCTGGCGCCTACAGGGTTGAAGACACTCGTGGGGGATGGGGGAAGATCTCCCCGTCATCCCTCACTGCAGGAACAACCAGTATTTCTCCCTTTTCCTTCCTCCCCTCCTCTGACACATGTCAGAGTCCCAAGTGTGCTTCTGCCTCCGGAGAATGGGAACAGAAGCAGAGGACCCCTCCTCTTCACACGACCTCTTCCTTGTTTAGTGTCGGGGCAAAGATCTCTCTTGAACTGGGCTGTAACAGAGAAAAAACATCAGAGGGAGTCCTGACATTGTTTCCCAGTAGCTGGAGGAGTGACTTAAAAACCAAGAGCTTTCGAGTGCTCGCTGGGACTAGGCCCTGGGCTAAGTGCTTCATGGCATGGACAGCCGTGTAAGTAAGCGGAATAACATCATCGCCCCCATTTTACGGAGAAGGAAGTCAAGGCACTGAGCATTTAAGCCACTTGTCTAAGCAACATGGTACCCTAAGTGCAGAGCCTGCTCAGGTAACTGCTGGGTGCCCTGCCTCCCCAAGGCCCCAGGGCCCATGTCTATGGAGGGAAACCGTTGTCCAGGGTCCCGGGTCCTGTCTGGTGGTGCTTTAAGAACTTTGTATTCACTCGCAAGCTTCTCCTGCATCCGGCAGATCCGAGTTAGCTCCCATGGCAGAAGGGCTGGAGCTGCTTGTGCTCTCGCTGTTGGAACAGAATCGGAAGGTCTGTGCTGATAAAAAATACCCTGAATTTGCATGGGGTCTTCTTGCAAGACCCGACAGGGCTCACGCACCTCTTGCAACATTCTGTTGGCTTTTCTGGAAGGAAGGTGTCGATGGTTAGGTGTGCTGCCGGTCAGGGGCCCAGACTTGCTGCCAAGTCAGGCGGGCAGTGGGCAAGCTTGAGACCGGCTGTTGCATTCAGCCCTCCCTCCTGATGGCCACTACCAGACTCTGGGGTGCCCAAGGGCTGAGCTTGGAGTTGGGGGCCCAAGTCACCTGCTGTTCCGGCTGCAGGTCCTCAGCGGTGGCTTGGCCTCTCCTCCCCCCAGGTTATTAGAGAGCTCTCTGCAAGGCACGGGTAAGGCTTGGACTAAGCGGGTCTACACATAGGGGAAGATTGCCCGTGGGCCAAGTCGGGGCCAGTTAGGCTCCTGTGGCCACGGGGCCTACTTGCTGCTTCCCCCCACTGAGCCAGCTCCCTGCCTCCTCCCCAGCCCGGCAGGGCTGCCCTGAGGTGCTTGGGCCCCCAGCTGCCCGGCTCACAGCTTGTCTGTTCGGGAAGGTGCAGGGGGGCTGGTCCTGGAGGCACCGTGATATTTCAGCAGAATTGGGATGTGACGTGTGTATAGCCCAGGGACAGTTCACGACTGAGCTGAAAGGTCTGCGGGGGTGGCTGGCTCTGCCTTCAGCTGGGCGCCTCCCCTGGAGGGGCTGGCCCGACCGGCCATAGTCCAGGGCACCCCGAGGCTCCCTCCCGGGCTGGTAGTATTTGCTGGCTGACCTCACCAGCTCTTACCCAACTTTGTAAAACCACCCTGGGGAGCCTGTTTGGCAGGAGCAAGGTAACTTAGAGGTGTGCCCGGAGCTGACGGAGGAAGAGGACTCACCTTCCTCCCACGGGGCTGCTGCCCTTCTAGAAGTCCTGGCTGGCCGCCCCTTCCCAGGGACACTGCTCCCTCTGTGAGCATTTTATGAGGAGGATTTGTTTTTTCTTCCCACGTCACCTTTCAGGCCTTCCTTGTTTGTTGTGCTGTGTTCCTTCTCCTGACTCTAGTCCTTGGACAGCAGCTGCCCTTGGGGCCCCGATGAGGTCCTGGACTCAGAGGCTGACCCGGAGCCCACAGCCACCCCTGCTCCCGTGGGGTGGACACTCCCCAGTCCCCGCAGTGCCTGGAGCCAGAGAAGAGGGGAGAGGCTGCTGACGTTGCGGGGAGGAGAGAGGAGCAAGCAGCACAGAGGAGAGCCCAGCACCAGTTCTGGGAGCTGGGGGGTAGAGCAGGCTGGGGGAGCCCCCGGGGAAGAGCCAGAGGCTCCATGTGGGTGCCTGAGCTCAGAGACGGGGCAGGTGTGAGCTCAGGGCCCTGTGTCAAACTGGAAAAGGCAGCCCTCGGTGACTCGGGCCATCTCTGTTCTTTAGGGAAGCCTGTGAAGGCTGGTGCTCCCTGGTCCTGGGGTCAGGAAGGCCCTGCAGGAAATGAGTAGCAGGCCCGAGGCATCTTGGGAGGTGGCTGAGGCCGCCTCTGTCTGTGCCAGAGCGGGAGGGGGAGCCGGCTCCAAGTGAGGACCTCTCTGAGGGACGCGCCCAAGCCCTTCCTGCTGATGAGTGTTGGGCGGGAGGGAGGGGCAGGCACTGGCCGTGCAGCGTCAGGCCAGGCCCTGCGGTCGGGGTGGGGCTGCTGGGTGACATTTAGAGCAGGGAAAGCAACAGGATCTGTGTCCCAGAGGTAGTCTTTGTGACTCTGTTCAGAGCCACCAACTGCAAGGCCTCGTATCTTCCAGCCATTGCCAAGTCTCTTGCGGGGGTGAGAAAGTGACTCGGCCTTCTGGGGCCCCTCCCAGGCCCCCGGACCTGCCACCCCCACCCCCTTCCTGCACTTGCTGTCATGAGTGTGAGACTGTCCCCTGCCAGCCCCAGGGGTCAGAAGTGGCCCTCAGCACCCCATACACACCCCAGCAGCATTCCCAGGTAATCCAAACACCTGGTTGGGTTGTCTGTACCTTTTCTTCTTGTCCCAAGAGTTTTGTTCCTATAGCAGCTTAGAAATACAGAGCCAGGGGCGCCTGGGTGGCTCTGTCGGCTAAGTAGTCTGACTCATGATTTTGGCTCAGGTCGTGACCTCAGGGTCGTGAGATGGAGCCCTGTGTCAGGCTCCTCGCTCAGTGGGGAGTCTGCTTGAGGGTTTCTCTGCCTCCCTCTGCCTGTGCCCCCCGCCCACTCATGTGCTCCTTCTCTCAAATAAATAAAGAAAATCTTAAAAAAAAAAAGAAAGGGAAAAAAATATCAGACCTAGCAGAATCCCCAGATGTGGAGAGGTGGGAGCTTGAGGGAGGGTTGCTGAGTATTTCTGCTGGCTCTTCAGCCACAGACAGCGTGAGGCAGGGACCAGAACTTGGGCGCTAACTCTGAGGCCTGGTGTCAAGGAGACAAACACCGGAGATTTCCATTAGCTTCACAGGGGTGCCAGGAGCCTCAGAAAGGAAAGGTCAACAACCAGCCGGGAGGAATATTTGCTTTGGAAATGCTGGGCCTTCCAGTTAGACCAAGGGTACCCAGGAGGGTGGGGGTGGCAGGACAGAGCTGGGGTGTGCTCCAGGGGTCCCTGAGGAGCCCCCTCCCTCCTCCCATCTTCCTCTATCTCCCCCGGCCCCCACCCCACCCCACCTTCTCTGGCTGCCCCTTGTGGGCCTTCACGGAGCTAATGTGGGGAGCCAGACGGGGAGCGTGACAGGGCCGGAAGAGGCTGGGTCTGAGGCCGATTTGGCGCTGAGCCCCCGAGCCTCAGTTCCAAGCGGAAGGGCCTGCGTTGGAGGCCCAGCTGGACAGCCCAGGAGCAGTGGGGCCAGGGCACCGACCGTTGCCGCCTTTTTTTTTTTTTTTTAAAGATTTTATTTATTTATTTATTTGAGAGAGAGAGAGAGAAACAGCATGGAGAGGGAGAGAGGGTCAGAGGGAGAAGCAGGCTCCCCACTGAGCCTGGAGCCCGATGTGGGACTCGATCCCAGGACTCCGGGACCATGACCTGAGCTGAAGGCAGTCGCTTAACCAACTGAGCCACCAAGGCGCCCCCGTTGCCGCCTTCTTGGATGTCCCTTCTAATGTGTTGATTCCTGCGTTTACTCCCCGCCTTTATCTCCCTCCCGTCAGGTCTGTCCCCTGCCTGCCCACTGGAGCTCCGGGGCCCCCACAGGATGCTCCCTCAGCAGCAGCCCCTGAGGCCATGGCGACCCCTGGCCATTCGCCCACTCCTGGGAGGCTGCCAACTCTGTCCCGGATGAGCCCTCCCCCCGCCCGGCTGACCCCTGGGGCTTTCCCCACAGTGGAGCTATTCTCATGGGCCCTGCCAGGCTCCTTGCTGCTGTGCAGGCTGGGAGACCGCAGGGGCATCCACGCCCTGACTGTTGGCCCGGGTTTGCTCTCCAGGGAGGACAGGCGCGATGACCGGCGCCCGCCCCCTGGAGCTGTGGCAGTCCAAGGCGGTGTCCATGCGTGAGCGGCTGGGCATCGGGGACCAGCCCAACGACTCCTACTGCTACAACTCGGCCAAAAACAGCACCGTGCTGCAGGGGGTCACCTTCGGTGGTGTCCCCACCGTCCTGCTCATAGACGTCAGCTGCTTCCTGGTGAGACCCCTCCTGAACCATGTCCCCCTCCCCACCCTTACCCCGTCCCCAGGCCTTTTGGGAAGGTCAGGTGAGGAGCCAGGCCCACCTGAGTGTGGACACCAGCTCTGCTGCCCACCTGTTGTGGCCACAGCCTGCGTGTGCCACTCCGGACGGCGGAGGTCAGGAATCTTAGCTGCGGGATTTCCGGAGAAGATCCCGTCGGGCTCTGCAGGGACAGAGCCCACGTGGTTGTACCTCTGAAGCTGAGCACCCCCGGAGTTAGCAGCCTGTCGCGTGGGGAGGCCGCGGGGGGGGGGGCTGTCCGTAGGGACAAGAGCTGTGAATGGAAGGTGTGGGTTCCAATTAGAGTGGCCGCATCTCCCGGCCTAGAAACCTCACCTCCCGTCCCCACTGGGTCCTGGGCCTTTTAGGGGATCAGCCGCAGAGAAAAGGACAGACCTTGGAAAAGGCCCCCCTTCCTCAGAGCTGGGGCACACAGCGGCCTCTCGTTAGTGTAGACCTCCTGCTTCCCAAACAAGCCCCAGCCTAAAGTGTACCATTTTTCTCCCCTGTGCCGACCCACCTTTGGCCGGGTGGCAGGTGCTGGGGTCAGGCTCACCTTCCTTTGCCTGCCCGTGGGCCGGCCGGTGCCTCCTGATGCCTTCTCCCAACGTGTGACAGAGCCCATCAGAGTAAATGGGGTGGGACGGGGGTGGGGGCGGTGAGCCAAGGAGAGACGTCTGGAGACGGAGGCGGACGCCCCTGAGGGGGGCCCGGCTGAGGAGAGAGTCGCTGGCAGTGGTGGATTTTTATCATGGGACACTCGGGGTGCCCCTGGGAGCCAGAGGGGCCTGGAAAACGTGAGCGCACGGGAAAGGTCCACACAGCAGCACGGCAGGGCAGGAGGGCAGGCACCTGCCCAGCAGCCTTCACGTTTACCCTAAGACAGGACTCACCTGCCTGTGGAGGTGTATCAGCAGCTTCCCCACCCGCCTGAGCTAACCTCTCGGAGAGCAGGAGCAGGGCCCCCCTGGGGTTCTGGCCTTCTGGATTCCCTTCAGGGGGACAAAACCCACTTTTAAAAGCTCAGCTCCTGACTGGGGCCGGCAGGGTTGTGCTCAAGGAAAATGGCTCCCTCCCTCTGCCTCCCTGAATCTTTTTTTTTTTTTTAAAGATTTTATTTATTTATTTTTTAGAGAGTGAGCGAGAGAGAAACAGCATGAGAGGGGAGAGGGTCAGAGAGGGAGAAGCAGGCTCCCCGCTGAGCCGGGAGCCCGATGTGGGACTCGATCCCAGGACCCTGGGATCATGACCTGAGCCGAAGGCAGACGCTTAACCATCTGAGC